AGTAAGGTGTTTATTGATGAAATAGAAAATAGAAAGAAAGAGATTAAAAGATATGACAAGAGAAAAGAAAAGAAAATAAAGAAACAAAGTATTAAACTAATACGATAGGTCTGTTTGCCTCTTAAAATCTACCAGAAAACTGACTTGTCAAATCCTACTTTTTACATGATCTAAAAAGCTATCTATTTATATAAAATATAGTATATAGAAAGATATAACTAATTTGTCTAATATATTGTATATATTAAATATGTCTGATATGTCATATATATCGAATCTGTTTAATATATCCTATTTGTCGATCATGTCAAATATATCATATATGTCAAACATGTCAGAAATTTTAAAAATGTCAGATTTATCAGATTTATTGATTATCTACGTCATGTATATCTTATCACATTTTATCTGTTCACAGTAGTTTGCTTATATTTATTTAAAAATTAATAAAAACATATAAGAAAAATGTGAAAATGAAGTAGATTATATAAGATAATTGAAAATTTTTTAATATTATTAATAACAAATAATTAAATAACAAAGAATTCAAATAACAGTCAAATGATTTAAGATTATAATAAAGGATTAGATAAATTCTTTAAATGATTAAATGATCAGATCATTTTCAAATACTATCAGGTAATAATATCTAAATAATTATTTTTTTACTATTAATATATTATAACTGAAGATTAAAAATCCTAAAAATTATCAAAAGATAAATTAATATTATATTCTAATAGTAATACTTATTTAAACCTTTTTTTTTAAAAAAAAATAGTTTTATTAAATGAATTTATCTTTTTAATATTTTTATATAAATAAATATAAAATTATTATATTTTTTAATGTATTTTAATTTAAAGAATTTAAATAAAGTTAAATATTTTTGTTATTTATAAAAAATTGGCTTTATAATTTCAGTTTTATTAGTTTTAATATATTAAAAAAGGTAGTTTTATCAAGTATCATTATGTACTAATCATCATTAATATCTAAATTGATAATATAATAATTTTACTAACTATTATGCCAAATAATTAATAATAAATTTATAATTTTCTAATTTATAATCAGTTTGATTTATCTAATTTTACTAATTTTTATATTTTTTAATTATTATATTATTTTTTTTATTATTTTTATAATTATTTTTACAAGTATTATTTTTTTTTATAAATTTATTAAATTTATTATATTTGTTATAATTCATATTTTTATACTTGTATTTATAAATTTATAATATAGCAAACAATTAGCTATAATAAATTAAATTTATATTAATAAAATAATATTTTACTTAAATAAATTAACTTATTTATGAGTTTTAAGTATTTAATAAAAAAAATCAATTTAAAAATATAATTACTTTTTACTTTCCTTTTATATATTTATTATTTAGAAATTACTTATTTTGTAAAAGCTATCTTTGAAATTTTTTAATGCATATTACTAATGATTTTCTTAAGTAAAACATATTTAATTATATAAATTAAAATCTTTTTATATTTGATTTGATTCAATTTAATTCAATTTAACAAATATTTAATTTGATTTGATTTGATTTAATTCAATTTAACAAATATTTAATTTGATTTGATTTGATTTGATTCAATTTGAAAAATTCAAATTAAATTCAAATTGCTTTAATATTTGAATCAATTTGATTTTGAGAAACCCTAATTATGATAATCATTTATTGTAATTTGTCATAATATTTCAAAAGAAAATATTTTAAAAAAAAATTTTTTTTTTATAAAAGATTTTTAAGCTACTATTAAAAATGAAACTGTAATTAATTTTAACCAATTGCAATTTAAATTGCAATTATTCAAATTGCAACTATTTAATAATTTTTATATTAAAATAATTTTATAAGAAGTTGCAACTCAACTTTTTAATTGCAATACTATCTTTAGCTACTATTAAAATTTCATCCAAATAGTTAATTAAGTCTTTATTATTTTTTAATTGGCTTGATTATAATAATAAAAAAGATTCTTGATTTGAGAATGTTATAAATGTAATAATTAAATAAAAAATTAAATGCATTATTCTTAGTTTTAAACATAAATACATTAGAATATTTATTTTAATCATTAAAATAAAAATAAATTTTTTTAATATATATTATTAAGAAAATATTTTAAAGTTTTGATGAGTAATTTTACATTGTATTAATTTTAAAAGGAATATAAATATAAAATTGCTAAAATCTTTAAATATTTAGATATTTATTAAAAGTATATAAAAACTTTTTAAAGAACCAATGTCGTTTACGCGTTAATAATGGTGAATCAATTAAATGATTTTATATATACAAATTTTTTTTTTTACCTCGCGTAAAAAAAAAAATGTTAAAAAGAATTCGTTTATGGGTTTATTCTAACTTATCTTATTATCGTAAAAAAAATTCTTTGACCGATAAAATGCGTAAACATCCATTGTTATAAACGATTCAATAATTTTAAAGCTAAAGATTCTTGATCTTCTAAAGTTTCTGGTTCTTCTACTTCCAATAACTTTTGTTTCTTACTTATTGGAATTTCAACATCCTCCTCATCATCATCATTAGAAGAGTCATCAAAATTTCTTTCAATACTTTTATTAGATTCATTATCATCAAATTCGTTTGATAAAGTTATAACATTTTCATCTTCCAATTCATCTTCCAATTCATCTATTAATTTGGCCTTTTTCTTGAGTTTTTTATCTCGTTTTTTATCTTTTGCAATAATCTTATCTTTAACATCTTCTTTCTTCATGACTTCAAATTCTTTCTCCAAAAATTCATTCTTTTGAGATAATATGTCTCCTGCAGAAAGGAAATCCTTTTCGTCTTGAAATTCATAAACTTGATGAGGCTAATAAAAAATAATTATTAACATAAATTGCAGAAACAAAGTACAAAAATCATAGATTGTTTAACAGAAATCTTTACATTTCCATAATCATCAAAAATTAGTTTTTCGCCTCTAGGCGCGTTCTTTATGTTTAATTTTTTTGAAGTGGCTTTCATAAGTTTGCGTTTTGATAACACATCTCGATCCTATAATATATTGCCTTAATTTATTGACTTACAATGATAACATTTAAAAATTAAATGTAATAAAGAAATACCGGTTGTTTTAGCTCATCTGGTAATTCGTGATCAGCACGTTTAAGAGTGATAAATTCATCATCATAACTCATAACATTGTCTGCTTCTCGATCTACCAATTTTTTATAATGATCTGTAAGAATAGACATATTCTTGCGATTGAACATCTTGTCTAACTTGGTTTTTGGTTTGGCTTTTTTCCCTTGTCCATCAGGATTTGATAAAACTTCATTGTTCATTTTTTCATCTTCATCAGAACTTGAATATCCAGGGACTTCTTTTGCTTTC